CGATCTAGGAGTGTAGTTCAGGTATTATACGGGAGGTCCAGCACTGTAGAAATAAACACAGTGCAGCGCCAATGTAACACATAAGCAAATAAAAACGAAAACGAACGTAACAACGTCAGCATCATACAACAGATTGCGGGATCAAAACACTATCATATACCTAGTTGTAAATTAAAGGTCACGAACGGCCTGATTGCGCGTTACTGAAGGTGACAGATACAAAGTAACTAACAAGAACATAATGTGTAACACCTAACTCCATACGAACCAATCAGATTATGTGATGAAACATAATTATACAAGTGTACTGCGTTTGCTATGATAAAACAAGTTATCGTTTGACACCTTTACAAGAATTGGTTTTACTATTGAAAGATTATATTGCATAAGCAAATAATCTAGACACCGTTCCTCGACAGCAATCAGTACACTGCATTGAAAACACCGTACCTCTACTGCAACAGGTACACTATAGTGAAAATTCATCGAAAGTAGCTGGTACACTACTGTGAAAACATCTTCTCTCGATAGTATCCGATACAATGCAGTGAAAATATCATCCTCTACAACTGATAAGATAATGCGAACACATTGTCCCCCTTCAGCAATCGGTACACTGCGGTGAGAATCACAGCCACGTGTGGATCTCAGGAATCAAAACGCACTTGTGTAACACTCAAACGGCAAGGAAAGTGAAGACAGTATAAAAACACTAAGCAGATTGTGTTCCAGGATCGTCTTCTTCATCCTTCTTTTGAGAAAGACACCAAATTTCATTGTAACTTGTCATTTTTGAAATCAGTAGAATTCATTAGATGTTACTTTTAATCACAATCAATTAACTCATTTGTATATAAAGAACAGTTACAAATATTGTTATTTACACTTTTTCAATATGTTGATAATTGTTAGTACTTTGTAGATATTTTTAAATTTTGTCATTGGGCTTCTCTCGATAAAAGGTCTAAAACGTCAACAAAATATAAAAGTTATGTAAATAAAGCAAACAGTTCAGAAGACAGGTGATTGGCTATCCATATCTGTTGAGTCCTCTGGCCATAAAAATCAAAGAGAGAACGATATAAATTACAAAAAAGGACAAAATAGAAATGTTAAAGCGCAACAGGCAGTCGACATCAGAGGACATCAAATACATATACTTAAACGGCAGGTGATGTGTTATCCCCAACCAGCTAAGTCATCTGGCCATAATTATAATAGGGAGGACTAATTATAAAGCACAACGAGGCAAAACTCATAAAACGCACATAGAAGCTCAGTAGAAAAGTGATTACGTATTACCTACTAACGAAGTAGTTTGATAGTAAGCCATACAAAAACATCATGTAGATAAAATACGTTGGAATAAGTACAATTACGACATTCCCAGGTGTGAATCAGCCTCCTAAATTATGTTAAGTGTTCACATTTTCGTAACGTTTTTGGGAGACTGTCAACACCGGGACTGCCTCAAAAGAGAATGACGTTTGGTCATACATTACTTGTTATATAAAGCATTTTTATGTTTGTAGCTACCACACCTTTAGCAAATAAAGAGATCGAATTGATTGATTACTGGGACATTGACGGTATTATCATTTCTGAAACTCTAACAGGTCTTTTTATCTTCCCTAATTCATGCACAGATTCAGGAGATATCTTGTGTAAAATCAAGATTTTACATTCCATACCATTTAGTCTCAAAACATGTAAAAGGAGTATTGGAAAACTTTAAATGTTCTTGAATATTTTCTTTCTCACACCTTTCAATCTAGCACAATACCAAACGATAAAAAAGAAGTTGAAATGAACACGATAACAGATTTGAACATAATCTTTCTTTGTCGTTTTGACATATGTATCTAGATATAAAGAGAATCATATAGATTTCACTTTTTTTTCTTCAAAATTTCACTTTTCCACAAAATTTCACTTTTTTCTATGCTTAATGGTTCTATCTTTTATATTAAGATTATAAAGCATCGGTCGATGGATTATTTTCGTTCCAGTGAAGACAACTAGTCTTTTCAACATTCAGATTATACATATCGCTTTAAAACTGGAGGGTCCTTCTGTTAGAAGAGCCGTGTTGTCATCTGAATGATTACAGATTTAGATGACTTTATATAAAAAGATCATTTATGAAAATATTCAAACGGGACCCATAATATAACCCTGGGTAGTCCCTTTCGTGTAATACTTCCAACCAATCGCCAAGCTCATATCATCTGTTACTCAGATAGCTAGATACCAGGCCAAACGAACTCTACATAATAGATCATGAGGAAGGCAGTCATGCAGTAGCCTTAGATAGACCCATGAGGATGGCGCCAACATACTCACGGTTGTCCAAAGCCTTGTGTCTGTCCTCATCTTATCTGACAGCCAAACCCTGACCCGAAGACAGCTAAAAAGAATTCAAAATGTTGCTTAATTATTCACCAAGATAGTTGCACATTGTTGAAAGCAAGAGTTTGGAAATATTTGGTAAACATGTAAAAGAAGTATTGGATAACTTAAAATGTTCTTGAATATTTTCTTTTTTCACACCTTTCAATCTAGCACAATACCAAAAGATAAGAAAGAAGTTGAAATGAACATGATAAAAGATTTGAACATAATCTTTCTTTGTCGTTTTGACATATGTATCTAGATATAAAGAGAATAATATAGATTTCACTTCCTTCTCCTTGTTTAGACACATTTCTCTTTTTGAAAATAGAGAAAAACGTTTGCCTCCTCCTTCAGACGGTTTACTTTCAGATCTAGAATTAAAAAAAGCAACAGGAATGCATGACTGGTTGTAAATATCATATAAACAAAAACAAAAAATATAATCACTAAAGGAAAACGATTTTTAGCAATGCTGTGTGTATTTGCTTAACGTTTTGAAAATTTGTTATCAGACTGTTGATCACTTTAAAGAGACTTCAGGCAATACTATAATTGTAAAACTAATGGAATGTGCATGACTGGTTGTAAATATCATATAAACAAAACAAAAAATGTAATCACTAAAGGAAAACGATTTTTAGCAATGCTGTGTGTATTTGCTTAACGTTTTGAAAATTTGTTATCAGACTGTTGATCACTTTAAAGAGACTTCAGGCAATACTATAATTGTAAAACTAATGGAATGTTAAGCATGTGTAGTACGCGATATTATGACCAGTTCCGAGCCATCAATCAGTGAAATGGAGTGTCATTGTCTCTAACTTTCTACTGGAGAAGAATCCTTATAAGTAATTATGACCTTGACTAGTACTTCTATAATACAATTTGGTCGATCAAAGTGATTGTTTGAAAGAGCATGACTGTGTCCAGTTATTATTTCAGTGTTATTCCATAATTATCTCGATGAAAACAAATATTGATTTTGTATTCTTATTTTAAACTCTTTATGATTTGTCCATTAAAGTACTCGAATATTATTTTATATAATGCCTTAAGTAAAACTAATTACTAAGTGTTTGTGTGGCGTTACAATTGTAAGACACAAAGTGAAATGTGAATGGACATACCATTGCTTTTTTTATATGACAAACAAACGTGTGTATTTTGATCCTGTCATTTAAGGGTAGACATGAAGATAAAAAAAAACGTTTCTGATTGTGTGTGCTAAAGTAGATAATGGATTTCATTTCGTTGTCCTGGTACATGGGTACATTTCTCTTTGTCAAAAATAGTTCAAATTATTTTGTCATGTACAAATTAATACAAGTGCTACGTTTATCAGGTAGTAGTGTACCCTATACATTAGATCGCTAACGTCTTGTGTCTAAAACTGAAGTTGACCATTGTATCACAACACACTTATGTATGTAAAGTGTAACCAGGGATAAGATGTAACCTATACGATTTACAAAGAATTGGAATTTGGATAACATAAAATGTATTAAAGAACGAGAAAGAAGAGCTGTGATTACTATCTCTATGATATATATTCTTTACAGAAATTACATTTCCAGATAGATAAGAGCACTTTTTAATTGTTAAATTATTATCATTTTTAAATTACGCATGTTAATTCAGATGTCATTAAGAAAATTTTACTTATTGTGAAAGAAAAAGGTTATTTACAAAATTTATAACTCATTGACTTCGTTTCTATATATAGCTCTAGTCAGCTACATTATACTGTACCCATACTGAATAAATTCGTCTTTTCTTTTAATCATTGCTTTTTTGTAGCTTTAGTCGATTCTTGTTTGACAGAATTCATAAAATGCTATTAGTTTGTATATGAAAACCATTAAATGTCTACTTTGAAGCGAGTAAAACCTAATTTTGTGATGAGTTGTATGTTGTTTACGTGTACGAGAATTCGCGCCCCGTCCTGGCCTAGCCAGTGTTTACACTATGGTTTGTGGTGGTTTTCTATTTAATAAAGCCTTGTTCTGTGATAGAGGGCATATAATTGCTTAATTGACATCATGAACTTTGGATATGCACATTAACAAAGTGAAATATTATTCAGAAATACATGTTTCCCAAAAAAATTCCATAGCCAGAACGGTAGATATACTACGTAAAATGGCGGAAACTAGAAAAGTTGTGTTTCCTATGCTTTAGTAAAACCAACGCTATAAAAGCAGCAGTTGATGGAACGCGGTTTACTTTTTATTTGCCAACTTTCAATATCTTTTTGAACTAAAATTAACGTTTAGTTAATAAAGGGAACGTATCATATCAAAATTATATATGTTTAAAGTTAAACTTTTTGAGCACGAAAACATAAACTTCGTCTTTTTTCTTGTATATTATTAAATATTTGAATGGGAAATATAAAAATATTGATATTTAAATAAAGCTTTATTTGTGTTAATTCCGAAACAAGTCGGTTAAACGGGATAATAAGAGTGGTTATTTGTTAAAACATAGTGTTTTGTAGTCAAGAAACACAAATGTTTGCACTATCGCGAAAACATAGGATTCAGAGTAGCGGTTGTAGGGGGTGTCTTCGACGAGGTGCGAGTAAAGTTTATATTATACCAGGCGTTAACGGCCGATAACTCAGTTTGAATCGTATACTTGACTTCGTACTATCTGAACGTACAAATCAAAGCAAAATCATGTCTGCAGTAGCTCCAGCCACACCTAAGGTGAAGAAGGCAGCAAAGCCTAAGAAGCCCGCAGCCCACCCCACCTACAAAGAAATGGTCAGGACGGCCGTTTCCAGCTTGAAGGAGAGGGGAGGCTCATCAAGGCAAGCGATCAAGGCTTACATCATCAAAAACTACAAAGTTAATGAAGATAAGTTGCCCACCAGCCTTAAACTGGCCATCAGGAAAGGGATTGCTGCCAAGACCCTTGTTCAGGTGAAGGGAAGTTTCAAATTAGGGGCAGACGCCGAGAAAAAGACGCCTAAGGCCAAAAAGCCAAAGAAGGTAGTCAAGCCAAAGGCAAAGAAAGCTACAAAAGCCAAGAAGACCGGAGAGAAGAAGGCTAAGCCTGCAGCAAAGAAGGTGAAGAAAGTAAAGACTCCCAAGAAGAAGACTGCAAAGTCCCCAGCAAAAAAAGCGGCGGCCAAACCCAAGGCAGCAAAGAAATCTCCAAAGAAGGCAGCCAAGAAACCAGCAAAGAAGGTAGCCAAGAAACCAGCAGCGAAAAAGTAAAAAGTGTGAGTGAACTTTTAACAAACTTCTGAGTGTTAAATTCGTTGGATATCTTCGTAAGGCAGCCTTCTATGTGACTCGTGTTGGACACTGAATGAACAATGCTCCAGTGAATGTGTGCAACGTCAACACATGGATCATCTCTCATAATAACTGTATGTATATCGATGCCGCAGTTGACAGGACACTTGGACCCCAAGGAACGACGCGGGACGTCTACAGTGCTGGAATGTTGACTGGTGGTTCGGTGCATTTCATTGACATTACTCATCAATTCATTGATCGTTTTTGACATTCATTTCATTTGTCATTTTCATTCATTTCCATTCATCATCATCATCTTTTTCATGAACAGTTTTAACGGTAAACAGAATGGCAGTGTTTTTAACCCAAACCGCTTAGTGCTGTTTGTTTTATCTCGTTAATTGTTTCTTCTGTGAAGATATTTATTTGTAAATATTGTCATATTTTTAACATGAAATACATATATAAATGCATATAAAATTTGAAAAACCCTTCATTGGCCTTTGTATTTTTCTATCGATTTTGCATGGTTAACAAACTTGTTGTATCTAATGATTTATCACTTGATGTAACAATTTGCAGTATCAGACGTATTATTGTAATCGGACATTCAACATCAAGATTCTGGTCATTGACATCTTCACGTATTTGCGTTCCGATGTTTTGTGTCTGAAAACCAGAAAAGTGTTGGATTTCTTTTTAGAGTTATCTCGCCTAGGACCATTTTGACACCGACAATGCAGTGTGTGACCTTATTTGACACGTAGTTTTGTCTTCTATATCTGAAGTTTCCAGGCAAAAAACAATCGCAAATATACATATTCATATAATTGTTAATTACAGCATAAATTAACCAAAACTTTCAAATAGAAAGAGGTACCGAAAGCAACTTTAAAACTTAATGTGAAAACACTTTGGGTAACTTGATCGCATACATGTGCATGTGGTGGTACGGTTTGTATATTTTATAACTTATAACAACACCACAGACTTATATACCGTAGTCAAAGAACTGATAGTATGTGCATGCACGAGCTGCTGTTTTAGGTGAGATTTTCTGATGAAATTTATAAAACATCGTGTTCATTGAAACCACATATGAAAGAAATTTCAAACACTAGTGTCAATGTAGTTTTAACTGTTTCAAAACTATCACGATATTCATGAGGTTTGAATTATTTTACAATTTTGTATATAAACTGACGCCCAACTTCACCTGCCATGTTGACTCGTCTTGAAGCACAACGAGTACTGGTCGATTCATTTAGGTACCGGTTCCAGTTATAACTGCCCTGCAGCCGCATCGTTAGTCTACTCAGTGTGGGTGTCTCACTTCCGGCTTAGAGCAACCGGGTGTCATTTCAAAGACCTTTCGTGTTATCATTTTCAAGTACTAGAAGACTGTCGCTGTATCAAATTGCACACGAAAAGATGAAAACAGCCTACCAGAATATAGGTACGTGATATGAAATATAAACAAGAGGAAATGACGCACATGTCGCATTTCGGACAGGGCGGGTTTGGACATGGAAAATGACTGAAATGAAGCATCCCTATTTTAATCTTAATTATGGTTATATAATTTATTGCACCAAATAATAGCAATAGAACTAGACAAAAGTCAATACAAAATTTGTATTGCGTTTTCCCTGAAGAAGAACCCGCTTCATTTTTTAAGGAGTAAAATAAAGTCATGATAATATATATATGCACAACTGTGACGTTATAACAGTGACAAAAAGAAATTTACCACACATAAATAAGTTTGCTGTTTGATCTTCTGTGCGCTTTTCAAAACAATTAAATTATTTTTGATACCTTAACCATAATCTAACGTATGAATATTGCCCTAGGTTCGGTAATAACCAGTACAAGGACATGACTTCACATCAATGGATCAAGTAATCAGCGAATGAACATAATCTAATGCCTCGTTGAAATAATTAGTATAGACGCTCCGGGCCGAGAACTTTTCTGTCACACCATTCAATATTACCTTTGCCACAACTTTACAGTTCCTAGAACACTTAAGTATGGTTAGTACAGCTCCCGTTGTCTATAAGATATGTGTTGTTTCCTTGAACTTCCAACTGGTCATATCTGAAGCAACCTTTTCATNGATCCAAGGCCAAGGTCACACTTGCTATATATAGAAAATCGTCCCGTCCCGATTCAATGTAAACACTTAGCAACTTCATTCTTTGACAGATTTTGGTCAAACTTTATACAAAGGTCAAGTATGATTATACTTCGGACATCATTGTATTTCAGGGATCCAAGGCCAAGGTCACACTTGCTATATATAGAAAATCGTCCCGTCCCGATTCAATGTAAACACTTAGCAACTTCATTCTTTGGCAGATTTTGGTCAAACTTTATACAAAGGTCAAGTATATGAGTATACTTCGGCCATCATTGTTTTTCAGGGTTCCAAGGCCAAGGTCACACTTGATAAATATAGAAAATCATCAACAGATTCAATTTAAACACTTAGCAACTTCATTCTTTCGTGGATTTTGGTCAAACTTTATGCAAAGGTCAAGTATGAGTATACTTCGGACATTGTTGTGTTTCAGGGTTCCAAGGTCACTGTTGCTATATATAGAAAATAATCTACTGATTCAATTAAAACACTTCATTCAATATGTTATGGAGATGGTAATAACATACAAAAAAAACATGATTATTAAAATCAACTTTAAGTGTAGTACCTTGTGTGTGTGCATGTTTCAGGGTATCAAGATCAAAGTGGTTGTAACTTTTTATAGAATACTGAAACTAATTTCACATGGCAGCGGGGGCATTTATGTCTTACAGACATTTCCTAGTTTCTTTATTTATTTTAAAAAGGGCCCAAGAATACACAACGTTCAAGACATATGCTTCAGCAACTTCCTTCCGTTTCGATACGCTCTATTATCCATCCTCATGGGTTTTAAGCTGAACAAGTAACATGCGATTTATTTTTGTGGATAACTGAGTCTGATTTAAAAAGGTGGAAAAATATGAGTTTATAAAAGAATCTGCGATGTTTACAGTCAGTACGTTAACAGCATTAAGTTACTTTTTTTATTAAATCATCTGAGCGAAGAGGGGGAACGTTACCTAAAACATAACAATGTTACGACTACCTTCGATTTACAGCCTATGCTAAGTGCAAAGCGGAATTTTTATTTATTTATATGAAACTTACTTTTAATTTACTTTTTTTTCTGGCTTTTCTTATTCTGAAAAATATGTATATATTACCATGTTATATCTTTATAGAGTAATAATGCCTAAGACAACAAGAGATCTTCTCTTTTTCAAAAAATGATTCTTGACATATTAATCACTCGCTTGTTATTGCCTCATTTTTTTACTATACAATAAGTTTGTGATCTTAAGAGATTGGAAGTTTAGTTCACATGTCTGTAACACTTGAAGAGAGAGTTAGTTTGTATTTCAGTATGATGGGAGACAAGTCTGACAGCTGAGGAAGTTCTTATTTATGTACGAGTTATCGTTCTTATACCAAAATACTTTTTCGACGAAAAAGTGAAATTCTACACTTTTAACCCTTTCACCCCTATGTAACTTTAGTAGACTCTACCATGCACTGGTCTGGATGAGTCTATTATGGTCTACAGTGGTGAAAGGGTTAAGCTTTTATCCAACCGCTACTTTTCACTTTAATTTGTTGAAAGGAACAACATTGGCGATTTAAAACATTTGCTTAAGCTAATTTTTCGGTAGATGCTTAAGCAAGCTTCCATTTATCCGTCCAATTTAAAACTGATCGTGTATAAATCTCCTCTCAAAACTTTGTATATTTCCTTTATCCGTCCAATTTAAAACTTCAATTGGAGACATTATTTAGATCATGTCAATCATTCAAGCTCATAGTGTAGAAAATGTTAACTAGCTTTGCATTGTAATTATACCCATAAAATACCACCTTACTTACACAATAGTGTTCCCCGGAGAAACACTTGTTCACGAAACCAGAGATACCAATAACTTAAATTCTTGATTAAACTCATTTTTATATTCAACAATGACCTAAAAATTAACCAAGAGAATATCTGAAGATTGCAGTGAAAGGTATGATTTACAAAAGTTAAAACAATTTGCGAAAAATTTATTTGAAAAGAAAATATTTTCGGGAGGATATTCTTCCACTTTCCGAAATGGCATTTTATAATGACAGTCTCACTTACAAATGGACCACATTGAAAATGACGTCACTTTTCAGAACGCCGGTCGAACATAGTACACGTACTTAACTTTTTTAACTCAAACATAAGTTTCATTTGCTTCTAAGACAGGGTTTTGAAGCATAATACAGCTCCCGAACTGGGGTTACCCATATGTCTCTGTACCCCGACTGAGATGCCGTCTGTCTATGAGAACCAAGTTTGACGTGTGATTTCGTTGTTACCCGACCATGCCCTGTACAATACTTATTTCTCTGAAATCAAAGGCGGTACATAATTATTATGATTAATATGAGAAGTCTATGATTTGGGATGATTGATAATAATGTTCCAGACAACTTAACTCGTCTAGCGTGGTGGCCCATATATTGTACGGGAATTTCGAAGGTCATTTGGCTGCATATCGCTTAATATCGCATGGCTAGTGGCCGGGGGGTGTCAGATTTCAAAAAGCGTGTGAATCTGTTATATAAATAATTCATCATAATACGGCAGACACCGTAGATTACTTACCCCATTATTATAAAGTGGACTGCTTTTTTCTTGGAAGTCGGGGTTTTCAGGTTGACTTCCTTTGATTACAATTTCCACAACCTAAAATCCAAGAATAAGTCATTAAAACATCTGTCTGTGTTAAACCGCAACAGAGTGTGAGTCCTACAGCACACTTAGCAGTGTAGGGTGTTGTAATTAACAGTGTAGGGTTTTGTAATTAACAGTGTAGGGTGTGGTAATTAACAGTGTAGGGTTTTGTAATTAACAGTGTAGGATGTTTTCATTAACAGTGAAGGCTGTGGTAATTAACATTGTAGGGTGTTGTAATTAACAGTGTAGGGTGTTGTCATTAACATTGTAGGGTGTTGTCATTAACAGTGTAGGGTGTTGTTATTAACATTGTAGGGTGTTGTCATTAACAGTGTAGGGTGTTGTCACTAACATTGTAGGGTGTTGTCATTAACAGTGTAGGTTGTTGTTATTAACAGTGTAGGGTGTTGTCATTAACAGTGTAGGGTGTTGTCATTAACAGTGTAGGGTGTTGTAATTAACAATGTAGGGTGTGGTAGTTAGCAGTGTAGGGTGTTGTAGTTAACAGTGTAGGGTGTTGTAATTAACAGTGTAGGGTGTTGTAATTAACAGTGTAGGGTGATGTAATTAATAGTGTATGGTGTTGTCATCAACAGTGTAGGGTGTTGTAATTAACAGTGTATGGTGTGGTAGTTAGCAGTGTAGGGTGTTGTAGTTAACAGTGTAGGGTGTTGTAATTAACAATGTAGGGTGTTGTCATCAACAGTGTAGG